ATTTCCTATAGGGGGGGGGGGGGGGGGGGGTATCAATTTTGTGGTTGGCGCTCGTCGTTCGGCCGTTGACCACGCAAGCGTTCGCCGCCAAGCCATGACCCCGTACAATACGCTCTTGGTGGAGATGCCCACCAAGTCGGGCAGTGTTGTACGTGTGGTATACTGTTTAAGGTTCGCATGCGTTCTCTAGTACATAGGACATGTTGCTTCTCTCGTCACCTTTTGGTGGCCGTCGGTGGCCAACATTCCAACTTTTAGTTAACAGCGCGAGAGCGCTCTCCACCAATTTCAAAAAGAAGCGAGTATTGGGGCGGGGGCGGGGGTGAACTACGCGTGGGGAGAGAGAGAGAAAGAGAGACAGAGAGAGAGATGGGGGCGGAGAGAGCGGGTGTTCAAAGTGGACCGCTAATGCCTCGGGCGGACACGCGCGCGCTACAAATTTACCTACATAACCCGCATGGGTGACAAGGCCTTTGAGTCACTCGGGTGCTGTCAAGGAGGGTGGGGGGTCTTGAGTTGCCGCGAAACCAACAGTAGTTTTGATCGAGACGAACTCTCTGCCCTCGACACTCGACGCCCCCAAGCCTCAACAACATCATCAATGCTCTGGCTGAGATGTGTCAGGTGGTGTGCAGTCGCGGCGGGGAAAGGTTCCAAAGGAAACATTCTTGCAAGTACTGGCACTATTGGGAAAAATAAATACAAACGCAGAAAGACTGTACCCGTTAGAGATATAACCACAGTCGAAGGGGATGTGTTGGGGTTTTTGCAGTGAGTGGAGGGAAACCGGCTGGGTACGGCATCTATGTTAGATGTCGGGCACAAGCGGAGGTTCTCGAGAGAAGATACCTGCGAGCTTGGAACCTCCCCCCAACCCTCTCTTTCCGTCATCACACTCTCCAAAGACCGCGGCAGAACCCAGTGTGGCACACGCTTCACAAGCCACAGGACAGAACTGCCAATCATGAGACAGAACAGAGACCCCGCCCACGGCGGCACATATATTCCATACATGAATGGTGCTGTACCTGGATGGCCTGGTTTGCACCTTGGCCGAGGTTAGGCGGCATAGCGTGCGCGGCGTCCCCCAGGAGAACCACCTGCCCTTCCCCTCGGCTCACCCAACCCTTCCGATCATGTCGGCGGAAGAAGATGAAGAAAGAAAAATAAAACGGGGGCAAAAGCAACGTGTTAAAAGCGGACAAAGGGGATGTAACGCATGGTGTAGCCGATACTATAATACATACCATTAGACCATTGACCTCGCATCGCTACATGCCGGGACGGAGGAACGATATGCCGGGTTTTTAGTTTCGGCGGGCTTCAGAATGCAACAAAAACTCTTGTGGTGGAGCACAAAAAATACAGCAGTAACTCCCCGTCGTAGACCAGCACAGTAAGCAGCCCAATACAGTGGCATGGAGGGGCAAGGGGAGAATATGCCACTATTCAGGGCCCAGTGCCACTATTCGATAGAAGTACATCTGGTTCATGTTCATGTTGAGATTTGTGAAAAGAGATTTTGATGCCATCACATCGGCAATTCCACTATTCGAGTTGCCACTATATCTGGCTGCTCACATACTGTACTGGTCTTCAAGGGGCGTCGCGGTCGAGACTGTCCCTCTCTCTACCACAGCCCAGGGGCGCAACACGTCGTTGGGATTTTCGAAGACATGGGGACATTCAAAAACGCCGTGGGGAGTGTTGAGCTGCATCGGGCAGCCGTGACGCTTTCTGAAGCTGTTTGTTTTGGTTTCAATTGCCAAGACGGGGTGTACAAACTGCACTGCTTCGCCCCACGAGGCTGGAGCACTCCTCATGAACAGGTACACAGATACTACAGCACATGCTGACTGGGACGGACTGCACGCATCCGCTTCGGCATTCGCCTGAGGTTCTTATTTCGGAACCAAAAGCTACACACTTATGTTGCGCTTCATAGAAGCCGAAATCAAACCATTAGACAATTCAGCGCTGACTATTTAGTCGAATGGTTTGATTTCGGGGCCCACGAACCCCATGACAAAATTTTATTAAGCCGAAACCAAACCATTAGACTAGTTAGCGCTGACTAGTCTAACGGTTTGATTTCGGCTTCTACTACTTGTACCTCCAGCGGATTCCTGTAGTACACGCCGAGCTCGTAGAACCGATCGCTCGCCTCCGCCAGCGCCCTCATCTCTCGAGGAAACCTCCTCTCGTCCAGCCTCCGCAGGCACGCGCCCTTGGCCTCCACTTGGTCCCACACGGCGTTCTCTTCTTTTCTGCGCGTTCGGGTCGACAGCAGCAACAGGAGCAAATGTTTTAGGCCGCGAGCTCGCTGTGCACGGCACTTACGTAGTCGTACATCTTACAAAACGTAAGAGGAGAGAGGGCAAGGAGTGAAACGACCTGAGCTATTGGGCGACGCGGGGTCGCCCTATCAGTGAGCATGTCATCAAGGGGTAGTGTTGTAACCGTAGTACAACCACTTTTCCAAACGTTCCGCAGAGCCTTGGCCGCTTCTCTACCAACCGAGCGATCAAAGGGCCACCAGTCCTTTGGGAAGGCGTCTTTCTGTGTTTTCCACAAAAACGAGTTGTTTACAAGGTGATTGACGACTGCTGTAATTGGATGCCATCAAGATGTCGAAAAGAATAACCAACGACAGATTAGCAGGTAGCGAGCCGTTGCGACCTCTGGGAGAACAAGAGTCTTCCTAATCAAACCAACAACCTGATCTGCGCAAGTCACCTGTCACGGTCCTGGTACAAGGCCGCCACCATCTCGAACTTCTTGTCCCCGATGCCCTGGTAAGTGGCGCTCAGCCCGTACGTGTCGCCCCCGAACCACTGGTGCAACTCTCGTTCGGACCTGAAAGCCAAATGGCCGTGTTGTGGCGGTCACGCTTGTTGTCTCTCGATTGCGCGGGGGTTGGGGCGGGGCGCGATGGCTACGTAGGCCGGAGGCTTTCACGGTGATGAGGGGGGTGGGTGTCGGAGAAAAAAAAAATCAAAGGCGGCGAGGACAACTTTCGGGAGAGTTTGGGGGGGGGGCAGCACGTAGACTCTACCTGAAGAAATAGTAAAGACAGGTGCCCGTGCAAACCCTGGATGAATACGACGAGTCTAACCCTTGCACTCTCGCGGTGAAAACGGCAGTTAGTGATGGTTCTCAGGCTTCCGCAGCAACATACGGTACCTTCCCTGCTCGACACACGTCCAAGCCGGGACACAAAACAAAAACAGCCATGACATTGTTCGCTTACCCTTCCGGCCTCTGCCCGGCCGGCGCCACCCCGTACTGGACCCGAATCCCGGAGTATATGGCGTCGTCGTTGTCGCCGCCGCTACCTCCCCCCGGTCCGGCTCGAACCGCCTTCCGCGCAGCCCCCTTGATGCCGTCCGCCCCGACGACGAGATCGAACGGACCTTCCGTCGAGCCGTCCGCGAAGCGGAGCTTGGCTCCCGAAGGGGATTCCTCCACGGAGGTGACCTCTCGGCTCGTGCTCACCACGCCGGAGGGAAGCCCGCCGGCTAGGATTTGCATGAGGCGGTCGCGCATGATGGTGAACAGCTGGCACCGGGGCAAGGGGGTCGGGGGGGCAGGCACGGTGGGTTGGTTGTGGGTACAGCCATGAACTGCGGTGAACAGACTCTCTCTCTCTCTCTCTCTCTCTATTTCTATGTTGCTATGGTGGTGTATCGTGAAGGATGAAGTCGGGTGCAAACCCGCGTGCGCGGGGTCCAGAATGCATGGTTATGGCCCATTGGCAGTTGATGCACGGGCGCGCGAAAGGTGTTGCGGGTACAATGTAGCAAGGCGGTTTCGCTCGTAAACATACACACACCAAACTTGTTCTGTGCGCCCATTACATCTATTGCAAAGCTTGTCCAAAAATACTCAGCGTGCCTCTCGCTTTGTTCAGTTTCTCTCTCTCTCGCCCCCCCCTCCCCTCTCTTTCTTTCTCTCACCATGGGCGTGCCGTTGTCCACCATGACCGACCTCCGCTTAGGATTGGATTGGACCATCTTCTTCACGTCCAGGTCAAGGGTCACGCGCCCCCCGACGGTTCGGCTTAGGATGCGCTCCACCTGGTTGCCACCAGCCTGCAACAAGCACCACATGCCGGTGTGTCGGTGTAAGAAGAAGGACTACATACCCCCGCGTGCCCTACACAGGGCTACGTGCACCATGGCTAACGGAAACCGTCACGTATGATTGCAACATGTAGGGTGCATGTCGTCATATGCTGACCGGATCCATCATGTTGGTTAACTTTGCACAGCCGCTCCGTGCGCGACGACCAACTCGCTATCTCCCGGGTGGTGTGTGGTTTCAACCCCTGGCATCATCACCTTAACGGCGTCTCCAAGTCCAAGCCGCGCCAGTATCACCGCCCCGCTGTTGATCTGCACGCCGCCCCCGATCCCAGGTTTGACGGAGTCGAACTTTTCGAAAACCTTCACCTCGTCGACGGCCGTGCTTCCTGTGCACAGCGCGTTCGCGAGCGTCAGACCCCCGACCCCTGCCCCCACGATTGCGACACGCTTCACCACAGGCGCGGCCGCCATCACAATCGAGTGATGGTGCTGCTGCGCTACGGTAGTTCGAGACGGTGCCGTGCCGAGGATGCGGCGGGTCTTCGCAACGTCTGCCGAAGGGCCACAAGAACCCGCGCTAGGAACGACGAAGCCCGTCACGGCAGACAGCATGCATGCCGCTGCCGCTATTGCTGCTGCTGTTCTCGCTAGCGGTGGCATCGTTCTCGGGTTGCAGCTGCAGCTGCAGCTGCATGATGTGGGCATGCGTCACAACAGCAGGACATGTTTGCCACCCCCTCCGCACGGACGCCCACCTGTTTGACAACCCGTCTTGTCCGCGGAGCCCCCACGCGCCGAAGCGCGGAAGCGTTGTGCTGTCACCACCTGCACAGCAATCAATCCTGTCGCGTGCATGTGGCTCGTCTGAATCGTAGGCGTGCAGACGAAAGGGTATACCCACATCTTCCTCGCTCCGATTTGCCGTAGTACCCCTTCTGTTCATTGTTTGTGGTGCTCCATCTTGTCGAGAAAAAATTGCGGGAACGCGGAGAGCTACGGCTGCAGGAACAACCGCAGCAGCAGCCGAGGCGATAAATCAACATGTTTTCCAACCCCCAGGAGCTTCGCGAGCGCGCGATGCGGGCCCAGCAGGGAAAGAAAGACGACACTACTTCGTTGGAGTCTAAGCCGAGCGCGGAGGAGGCCTCAGGTGTGTGAGGCCACGGGAGGGTATTTCTTGTATACTTTGAATCTGCTGCCTGTGCCTTGCATCCAACGGCGGACAAGACTAAGACTGCTGTGCGACTGCCAACAGCAGTAGTGCTGCAGTGCTTGGCGGTGTTGGCGGGTTGCTTGACACGAGAGAAGCGTTTCAGCACCTGCTGCCGGCCGTGCCTTGCTTGCTCTGGTACATGCTATTTCTCTTTTGAGGCGTGGGTTTGATCGCCATCCCGAAATGGCCCTCGGGCACACATAACGTCCGGCCACAGGTATGTACAACCCCCGCAGCGGGTGGGATGGATGGCGCCTCTGATCTGCCGTTGATAGCCAAGGCGCGCTTTGTCGCACATGAACGCATCAGACAAAAACGCTCCCAGCATCATGACCACAGCATGCCGCGGCTGGTGGAACGGGGCATCCCCTTGACTCAGCACGAACTGTTTGCAGCAAGAGCCTGCCGTTTTGTCGTGTGCCTGAACCCCTGCGTAACACAACGCATTCGATGCGACAAGTCTTCCGCTATTGCTGCGGAAGTACAGCAGCAACGACACTCGCCTAACCCGCACCTCGAGCTGCTTTCAGGTGTGTGTCGACTACAACCACTTTGATCTACAAGCACTTGCCCCCTTCTCAGGAAATTCAATTCCTTACAGCAGTACTGCATTCACGTAGGTATACATGCACACCGATTCCACCTTCCCGCAAACCGTCCTCTCAGCAGACGAAGGCGCCGCCGCCGCCGCCGCCGCCCCTGCCGCCGATGCCGGCGTGGAGGAGCAGCAGACGCCAGCAGCAGCAGGTGGGAAGGGCGGGGACGAGGGCGAAGCATCCCCGCCCTTGATGACGCCCGAGCAGGTGGAGGAGTTCTTCAAGAGTACGATGGCCAGGTTAACGTCGCCCGAGGAGCGAGAGGACATCAAATCCAAGGCACGTGAACAGACTTTTTGCTGCTTTTAGACGCGTTTCTCTCAGACGGCTCGTGGTTGGGTTTGAAGGGCAAGCAAGCATTTTAGGGACGTTTCGCTTGCTAAAGAAAGTTGCCGTTGAGGGGGATCTTTCCGCTGGGACGTGCTCGTTGGTGTCGTGTTGCGTGTGTTGTGCTTACGGTGTACGGTGCATGGACATCTTCGACGACAGCGGTCTCGAGGCGATAAAGAGGAAGCCCGCTATGCATGCTGCTGTAGTATGTACATGAAGCACACGGACGGTGCCGGGGCCCTAGAGCATAACTCGCTCAGAAGCACCATAGGAGTCCTTGGCGCACCTCTGTAGAATGAATGGTTCATGCCGCATGCTGTGCGTCACCCCCCTGCTCTCTCTGTCGCGGTCCACTGCTGCTGCTTGCTTCCCGAATGCCGGTTTCCCTGCCCAGTTCGCCGAGTTTTTTCCCGCGATGTGTGCTCTGACGAAGCTGTCTGCATGTCTCCGCCACGCCCCGTGCTTCATTAATGTGACGCCACACGCCCTTCTTTCCCTGTCCTTTCCGCCTGCCTGCTGCTGCTGCTGCTGCTGCTGCTGCTGCTGCTGCTGCTGCTGCTGCGGCACGATGGTCTTTCGCACCGCTGGTCTGTGGCGGTCGTTCCCGCTTGCTTTCTTGTCCCTCCGCGCGAAAAAAAGGTTACGGTCGACGTTCGGATCCCGGCTCTGCTGATCAAGATCCAGCACGAGGAGCTGGAGAAGATGGGGGTGAGCAAGAAGGACGGGCAGCAGGCGCTGAACGGGTACACGAGGACCACGGCGGCGGGGGACAAGGAGGCTCACCAGAGGGTGGAGGACTTCACGCACACGTGAGGGAGGGGGTACTGCAGAGTGTACTCGTGTTAGAAGGAAACTTAGCTACCCCACCTTGTTAAGCGCGGCCATGTTAAGGCAGGGAGAGGGGGAGAGAGAGGCAGAGACAGAGACGGAGAGAGAAGGAGACAGTCAGACAGACAGACGAACAGACAGAGATACAGAGAGAGAGAGAGAGAGAGAGAGAGAGTGAAAAATGCAGAGTGGGATGGCGAGCACGCTGTTGGGCGCGGGGCGTGGGAGTGCGGTGTGGGATGGCATCGTACATGGCGTTTTTGTTTTGTCCTGGCCCTGCAAGCGCGCGCGTGACAGCGTCTATGCTACGTTTACGGCGGTAGCTCGGAGTGTGACCGCAGGGGATAGGCCGGACCAGGTACGATCATGCGCATGCTTTTCCTTTCGGCTGTTGACTTTGGTGCTCTCAGCCCTACCGATGGCGTGGGCGGAGGGTTGTAGGAACCGTGGCCTCCTCTGATAAATTTGCCCAACCACACTACTGTAAGCAGGGACGAACCATTTTGACTGCTGCAGCACGTCCTCGTTGTCTTCCTCCGTTTCAAACCCCGCCGCCTCATGTCCCAGCGGACGTTTTGGGGTTAATTCTAATGTGATCGAGGGTTTGTATGAAGTTGCACCGCAACTCTCCATGCATGGCAAGAAGACATTGTTGCAAGCCCTCCTTCGCAGGACCGGTCGCGAATCGCTGCCATTGCAACCGCCCTCCCCTTCCTCCTGCTCCCTCCGTCGAAGGAAGGGAGCGAAAAACGATGCATGCATGAGAGTTCCCCGTAGAAAGCGGCGAGACACAGGAAGAGCGCCCGACTGCTGTTGGCGGTGTGTCAATTGTAGCTCGTATAGAAACGGTGTGGTCGTGTCGGGGGGGGGGGCCACGGTCAATGGCCAAACGGCCCTAGGCAAGTAACCAATGAATACAGGAATACCGACCCCCCCCCCCACCCACCCACCCACGTAGCCTGAGCCGGAGAAAGCCGGTCATATCGCTCTGTCGCGGCACTGTAGGGATGCGAGGTCAATGGTCTTACGACTGCAGGCATGCGTTTACATGAGTACCCCCCACCCCCTTCCCCCTGGTCCCCCAAAGATGTCAGCGCACGTTCATCGAGGTGCTGCGCGATATGGAGCCGGCGGAGGAAGAAACGGAGGCAAAGCTTACCCCTGCGCAGATCATGGAGTTTTTCGAGGCCTGCGACACACTGCTCGCGCTACCAGGTAATAAGCCAACGTGACAAAGGAAAAGTGTGTGTACGGGTGCTGGGAAGAACATAGGGTTGGGAGGAGGAGGAGGGGAGCTTTTGGGTGTTGGCTGTATCAAGGGCATGTTTTTTTTTTTCAAGACGTTGCCTGTTCGGTTGTGCAGGGGAACCCCTAACGAGCACGTGAAGAGTGGACGTGCGAGAGGGCACAGGAGGGTTTCGCAGAGTTACTTTGTTTGGTTCGAGCTAGCCAAAGGTACAGTAGCGGCTATTTGTGTGGCTTGCTGTGGCTGCGCTTGGTTGTCGTCGGCATCCAACACCTCGTCGAGGGGTGCTGCCGCGCTGATTGGACGGCGTGCTGGCCAGAGCACGCTAACTGCTAGAACCGGTACGGCAAAGGATCTCCGCTTCACACCCTGTTGACTGTCAACACGGTCAGCCCGAACGTCGCCCTTTCACCAAGGCCGACGCTTCGTTACGAAGGCATGGCTATCGCGGACCGGTCGATTACCAGCTGCTTGCTTGGAGTAGGGCTTTCGGTCGCGTAGGTCACGCAACGACTTTTGGGTGTTTAATCTCGCAGTGAAGTGCACGTTTATTTACCAACACTACACATGTACCATAGATTACGTTTTTTTTTTTTCCATTTCAGCTGTCTTATTCGCTACTGCTGCTGCCTGTGTAGCTAGCTGCCTGCTAGCCCTCACCCTGGTGGGTTCTGACGGCATTGTCTTCCTTCTGGCGCCTCACCCTGCCCCGCCCCACGCCTGCGCCCGCAACTCCCTCCGTCTGCCTCGCGGGGGCGGCGCCGCCGTTGACCGCGCCGAGTTCAGAAACGAAGGAGTCGCTGCGAAAAGAGTTCCTCGAGACGCAGGTCCCGCCGGACGAGACCATCGTGGGGATGCAGAGGAGCATGCTGCGCACCCTTGGCTTCTCCCCGGACCATGGGGTGGCCTGCTTGAATGCCTTCTCGAAGGACTTCCCCGACGACGAGAAGCTGCAGATGCGCCTGCAGCAGTTTATGCGATGGTGAGAGGGGCAGTGCTGCGATAGACGAAACCTGCTGTCTGTAGGTTGTGGAATTTTTCTGTCTTTCGTGGGTGGTAGAGAGAGAGACACCCCGGTCTTGCCTTGCAAGAGAGGGCGCGCTCATTCGCCTGCTGCAATCCATACGTGGCAGCAGTGTGCGGGGTGTTCACGAAACGGCTTCGGTGCGCTCACGCTGATGTCTCCTTCCTGGGCACAGGAGAAAATGTCTGGGAAGTCGGTTCTTGCCGTGCTGCTTGTAGTGTGGTCAGTCAAAGGGTAAGTGACAGCGCGGGACTTCCGTCGGGTCTTTTTTGGCTGTGACGGTCGGTGTGTATCCACGGGGGGTTTCGTTTCTCCATCCGGTGAAATGTGACGCAAGATCGGCAGCAGCAACAACAAGTCGAAGTCGTGTAGTTGCACACTGAAGGCTATCCTGCTGTATTAGCTCAGCGGTCATTACTCCAGCCAAGCGGCCGATCCCCGCAGCCTAGCTATTATAGCTTACATATCGTTGGGCGCGAAGGTGTTTATCCTCATCAAGTGTTGCTGATACTTTTGAATGAAAGTGAATGGACGGCAGTATGTTGGACGGATTCGAACCGCAGCCTCGAGCAACTTTTCGAGCCGACTGTAGACACGCCCTCACGACACAGCGGTAGTGGTGCCACACGCAGGACACCGGCGGCAGCGTGTGCCGCGTGATAGTGCTCGAAGCTGTGGGTTAGCCTAGAGTTGTTTTGGCGCGGTACCGTACGATCGCTGGCCGTCTACCATTGAAGCCGAAGTGTCGAGATGCTGCCTGCGGGTTGCGTCTCGCCCATTCTTCTCCCGGCTCGTTTTGATGATGCAGACCGAAGCAATTGGTGGAAGTTCCTACGATCAACCGACGCAAGTGTCAAAAGTATCTTGTTGTAACCGTAGCGTTGGTTTCTTCTCGCTCTGGCTCGCTACGTTGTTGGGATGGTGTTGGTGTTGGTGGTATGATTTTACTGCTATTGAATTGGTGTTGTTATTGTTGAGGTTGAGTGATCTGGTCTTTTTAACACCCACATATTTTTTCCCTTCTTCTCCTTCCCCGGTGTTCTTTTGGTGCTTTTGGTTCCTCAGCGCGAGCATGGCGCGGCAGGAGGCCATGCTTGGTAAGGAGGAGTTGACCAAGAGGATGCACGTGCACCAGGTGGGAAAACAGATGACGACGATGGTTTGATTTGTTGCACAGTATTTGGAAGCGAAGCACTGCTCTTTTTCGTTAATCGATCTATCTCTCTCGGCATCTTTTTCTCTTGCCTGTTAGGCTCCCCGACGCGTTTTGTCTACAGCCCCAGGAACCACGATAATTTTGTATTTTTTGTTGCTCCTGGCTCATGTACGCTATACCAAAGATGCGGTTTTGCTGGACATTAGGAAGCCTTCTCGCTCGTAACCGCGTGTCCGAGAGAGAGAGACCGGACGAAAACCGTGTGATTTCTATGGTGCCGAAGGAGCAGCGTTATCGGCAGCGTGTGTCGTGTCGCCACGTCGCCTCCGCACCACGAGGCAATGGCCTCCGTTTAATATATCTCGTTCGAATATTGATTGTGATGCCCGGATGCGGAGCGTTGTCAGGCATAGAAAAGATAGACGAACAAGCAGGAAAGGAAAGAAACCTCTCGCAGGGTGGAGTAAAAGGAAAGTGGCTTTTCATGCCGATCTAGCAGTGGGCGCCGGTGGAGTCTTGGTTTGTTGTTCTCCGAAACCAATGAAAACATGACGAGGAGTGCGTACTTGCCGTGCTTGTACCAAGTGCTCGCCCATTATTGCTCTTGTCTGCTTGAGTATTCCCACTCACATCGACCCGGGTGCAGGGGCTGCAACACACGCTTGTCCAGCGCAGCGCAGCGCCCGATAATTATTTCACAGAGGTAGCTTACACCCATGACTACACTGACACAGAGGTAACTTCGATCCGTAACTACAATTTCCATCGACATATACTTCAAGTACGTAACTGCCATCCATCACTACACTTGTTTTTTTGTTTTTTAAATAGAAATATCTTTCTAAATATGCATTCAACCCCAACGCTCGTGAAAAACTTGTCTTTTTTCGTTTGCACACAGGCTACCGCGATGAAGGAGCACAAGATGGCGATGGAGCTGAGTGCTCTGGACGAGGCGGGCAGGGCCGACCTGACCAAGAGGGTGTCGGAGATGCAGCGCAGGCACGCCCTGGCGGTGATGACGCTCACCACCCAGGAGGAGCGCCTCGCGTACATCAAGGGCATCCCCACCGAAGTGAGCTATTGGCAGCTGCGACGACAACACCAGTTGTTTTGGTGTGCGGTTTTTGATGTGGGACGTTGGTCTCCGGCACTCTTACTTAGGAGCAGGTTTTGCCTTGTGAGCTATTAGTAGCTGCGACAACAAGCAGCTGTTTTGGTGTCCGTTTTTTTTATGTGAGATGTTGGTGTCCGGCACTCTACTTATGAGCAGGTTTTGCCTTTTCAGCTTGCCTACGGGCTTGGAGATGTGATGCAACCCGTGTCCCGAACACATCCCGAGACTCGAACAGTCTTCTCGACACGAGCATGCTGCTGCTCTGTGGAAAACGTGTGCGAACCTCAGCAGGTGTGCCGCAAAATGATGGTTTCTCGTCAACCCCACGACCCGTCAGAGGGTGCTGCTCATGGTGCTTTACTCCCCCACCCACCGCTAGAGCCAATCCAGTTGCACGTCTTATTGTCTGCGGCCGGAGCGTTCGAAAGCAGCCGAAGGTTTGCTTGGCATTCCCTTCTTTTGGTTGCTTCCCGGCATATGCTGCCGTCGCGGCTGCCGGTTTTACTAGCGGCTGGTCCAGGTGGTTTGGTCGCGCAAGATGTTGCGTTTACCACCGCATTTGTGTCGTCGATCAAGCGAGTTGCGCATCAAAGCAGAACCTTTTTGCTGTGACCACGGCATGCTTCGACAAAGCAGAGAGGTGACGCAGACAAGTATGAGACTCTGGTGGCGTTCGCGTCGCAGTGGATGGCATCTTGCTGTCCTGGTGTTGGGAAACGGAGGAAGCTCTTCACGAGAATGCCCCCCTCTCGCCCCCCCCGCAGGTATCGGCCTCAAAGCCCCCGTGTGTCTGTGCATGTGCCACGTTAACGTTCACCTGTGTTTCGTTTCGTGCGGTCTTTTCGACCCGAGCAGGAGCAGTGGGACATCGCCAAGCTCAAGATGCTCACCAGGCACCTCAAGATGGCGCAAGACGGCGGCCACGACCACGGCCACGCACATGGACAGCCGGGCACAGCAGTGAGTTATCGGTCAACTGGTGTTGTCACGATGGCCGATTGTTTCGTCTGCGTTGTTTTGTACTTACTTGTATGTTTTGCGAGAGCCGCTTGTATGTGCTCACCCTCTTCGCGGCACCAGCCGGCCCTCAACAGCAGACATTTTATGTTTCGTGTTTCGCCCTGATCACCCCCCCCGCCTCATTTCCCTCTTCTGCTGTATTGGCACGTCTACATCATGGGCGTCACCGGCACTGCGTTTCCCTGCCGCCGCCGCCGCCGCCGCCGTCGCCCCAGGCTGCTCAAGGGCAGAGCGGTTCGCGCGACCAGGGTTCTTGAGAGCACCATCGATGATACACTAGAGATTGCCTCTCGTGTCCGCGACTGCCGTAGTTTTGGAGTCGAGACGGGAGCACAGCACTGCAGGAGGCAGGTGGTGCAGGGGGGGGGGGGCAGAGACGTACCGATGTTGTTCCCTTTGCCCCAGTGTTTGGAAGGAGCTCGGCTTGCTCTTGTCGGGGCGAGAGGGAGAGGAGAGACGGAATTGACTCTTTTTTTTTTGTGTGTGTGTCTTGCTTATTTATTCCTCGAGTGCCGTACATGAACTTTTGCGATGTTGATGGCGGCGATCGCGCCCAGAGAAGAAAGTGGTGTGTCTCCCGAGGTGATGCTACTACTACTTGCCCTGGGCCGGTTCGTGTGTTGTTTTTTATTGAACGAAGCGTGCGTGCGCCGAAATTTGGCGTGGTGATTTTTGCCGTGGGTCAGAGCGCAGGGCGAATGGTCAGGGACACAACAGCAGAAAATGTGTGCTTTACGTGGAACAGTCTTCTGCGATTGGTTCGAGTTTTCACCTCCCTCTTGATGCTTGGAACGGCTCAGCGTTCCTGAAAATTGCGTTTGAAAACTGCGTTTGTTTGCCGTTTGCTGTTGGTGCCTGAGCAGCCGATCTCTCCCCGATACAGGATGGTTGGATTGAGTTGCCTTGGGACAGACTGCAGTAACCGGTGTCGTGTTGGAGTGTGTATGTATTTTAATGTCAAGGACGGGTGGACTCTCTTATGTCGTACAATGTGTACACCCATTTTTAGGCATACACCCGTCTGCACCACGTAGTACTATAATAGGCGGCCCAAGGGCCCGAAACCCTGCTGTGAGGTTTTTTGGGGCGAAACGTCGGTGATGGCCTCAGTCGTACTCTTGATACAGAGCACGCCTGTTGGTTAAGAAACCCCCAAACCGGCTCGAGACTCCATTTCTTGTTTCGTTGCCATCGCCGTCAAGCACAGTTTTTTTTTAATACCAGTAGAGTTTAGCGTAGGATCCATCGCTGTGTTGTGTTTCTTAAACCTTGTTTCTTGGTGCAAAATATATGAGCCTTTTTTTTTTGTCGCAACACGGAGAGTGTCGTAGACCGTACGAAGACCAGGAGTAGATACTCGTGCTGGGGTTGCCGCTGTCGGCGTGTTGTCTCAAGTGGAGTGTGTCTCAATTGCGGGCCCGTACTAGGTACAGCAGCAGACCGTGCTGCCGCTGTCAGCGTGTCCTTTACCTAGGGGTCCCGTCAGGTTTGTCGTTGTAACTGGCCAGGCGAGAATAACAGATACTGGTGCGTTACCCGGCGTAGGCGCGGCAGGGTGCTGCACGTTCGAAGCGCAAGTGGATCGCATTTGCGTATGCGGTCAAGAATTATATCTCCCACGCGGGAGTATCTTGAGCATCATCTCGTGTGCCTTTGAGCATCATCTCGTGTGTGGTGACGGTACAGCAGTAACAGCAGTGTTTTGTTTTCTCCGCGGCAGCGGGGGGGGTAAATCGCTCCTTCAGACTGGTGGGGAGTGTAAGCTCAACATTGGTTCTGCTGCGATAGGAGGATCGTAGGGATAGAGATAGCGGTGTACAGCGCCCCTGAGCAGAGTATCCCTTCTTGTTTGCATGGGCGACAAAGCCACTTCCGGTCTGACCATGTGACGCAAAATGTGCACGGGTCGATCGGCATACGCAGCGGGTCTGAACCAACGGCGTTTGCGGGTTGCTGACCACAAACAAAATAATCGAGATCGCATATTTGTAGCTTTTTCTTCAGTACGGGAAGTACCGTACCGTGGTGGCACGTGAACCAGGGATTTGCGCGAGTGATTGGTGTTCTGCACTGCTCGACACAGCCAGCAATGTTGATTGGGATCGATCGGCGGCCTGACCCCGTCCAGATGCGTCGTACTGGAACGAGGCAACGGGGAAACATGCTCCGCTTCATTCTCGGCACTGTCATTTGACAACCGCAGGCGATAGGGCTACGACGAAACCCCTGCTGTATGTATCATCACAGCAACGTGTGGCATCTACCACGCACACATGCCTCAACACGTGGTCCATCGGCCGATAAACACGAAAATTAGCTCGAGATAGAGGGAGACCTGGCCGGAGCCTCAAAAACGCCGCATGCACACAGACAGGCCGTCTGCTCCCCCCCCCCCACCCCCC